ACATACTCGATCTACCCACCTTGATTCAAACTTAACAATAAGCATAACCATCACACGATCAATCAAATCCAGGGATGGATAGATAAAGCAGACGTAAAGAATGCTTGCTACTCGCGGAGGTAGTCACTCAGTCAGTCAACCGCGTAGAATGTGCCAAGACCCAGACAGACACCTACGGAGTAGGTACCTACCTCCCTTCAACCCCTCCCTGATTTCTTATCCGCACTTGACACCTCCATCCGTCCATCCCCTCCCTCCTTCTCCTCCTCCCTTGTACAGAGAAGATAATCCAAGTAGGCTAGGCTAGGCTACTTACACGTCCAACGCACGCATGCCATTCCTCACGACCCCCCCTTCCCCTCCCCCTCCCCTTATCTCGGTAAAGCAAAAAAGAAGGAGAAAGAAAGAATCCTTCCCCACTACCCACTTACCCACCCACCACCTGTCATATCATATCATTATCCATTTGCCAAGGCAAAAAACATGGCATGGTATGGTATGTCAACCTCCTATTCTCCAACGATAAAAAAAAGCCTTCACCTCCACCTTACCCAAGTAGCAAAATCCACTTACCTAACTTAGTTTGATTCCGACGACTCCACTATAGCTGCTGCGTACACTATACCAATTGCAGTGAGTGCTAGTATGTATGGAAACTGGTGCAGTGGTATAAAACGGCCATGCATCAATTCGGTAACGGTAGCCCGCACTACCGAGACAAATTCTGAAGAAAAAACAGGGATTAGAGTCGATAGTTCAACTTAGCTACATAGCTCAAGTGGAACTGGGAGGGGGGTAACGTAGCACTAAGTAAGATGGACATGGACTGGGGCGTTCAATAGTTGCTACCCTTTTTTTATCTTGTGTGATTGTGCTAGGTAGGTTACTACTATGTGGGTGTGACGGTGGTGATGGGGGTAGTGGTGGTGGCTGTTTCTAAAAATGTCCCTCTTAGTATCATTTAGTTGTACAATAAGGACTATCTAACTACCTAGATTGGTGAAGTGCGCCGTTGGAATGACTCCACTCGACTGGTAAGTGGGTAAGGTAAGTGTTAGCATTTAGCATCTCGGTGGGTAAAGTAATCCGGAGTGTATGTCTCTATCTGTCTTTGGATTCCGGGTTTTCTTGTCTTGTGGTATAAAGATTGTTAGTGTGTGGACTGTGGAGGGACTGTGCTGAGTAGGTGGTAACGTGATGGGATGACAGTAGCACGGTACAGTATGTCTCCCCCATACCCCCCCCCTGTCCCGGCAACTTTTTTGTCTTTCACGCAGTAGACAAGACATGTAATTCTCCCCTGAGTGATATTCAGTCCGCACCCCCTCCTTCTGCCTAGCCTAAAAGGTATGTAAGCAAAATAACCCGACTCATCACATCACACAGACAGGATAATCCGCCCCCCTCCCCCAACAAGTGCAGCCACCCTCCAATTTACCCCCTCCACTTTTATTGCAACTGTCACACAAACCTAGTCTACCTACTAGGAAGAAAAAAATAGTAGTGGACACAACACCATGCAAGAAGGTTATTGTCCGAAGTTTCATCATCGAGCGTTGGCGCGCCCTCATCCATATATAGCTAACCTGAAACGCCCATTATAGCGCTAATTGGTCATTGAGACACCCGCGGGTTTGGGATCACCGGATGTTGTACCACAACAGAGGGGTTTCTTATCTGTCTGCACATAGTAAATCAATATATTGAGTACGAGAACTTGATAGGATAGGGCATCTTTGCCGGTAACCTTGTTTGGGGCTTGAACTGTGGGTGTGTGTGTGTGTGTGGGTGAATGTTTCATGACCCAGGTCTGTCGACGTAACTTTATTCGAACAGGTTCGCGCGATACGAAGCTGAATGTTGATGCGGTAGTTTAGCTGGTTAGGCAGTAGGAATTGTCCAAGCGATATGACGAATGTATACATGATGACTGGAAACCGGTTTCCTAGAGTTTAAAGCAGCAGCCTGAACCCAATGAGTATAGCGTATCATTCAGGGGCGTGATATCGCGTCCCCAACATAAAACCTCCATAGAAAGCAGAGTGAGTGGTGGCAGCCATAAACTTCACGTCCACGTCAGACTCGAGTCAAATCATCGTGTCTGGGTGGTTGGGGGGGTCGTGCAGATGATACGTCTGGTGATGTGCACTGACATGCGGGTTGGAAAAGTCTGGAGATATATCATGGGGTTGGAAAGTCAAATGAGCATTGGCGTCGGTGGCAGTGATGATTATCAACTCAATCTTGCGCTAAGACCAGCGACAATGGACATTTTGGTGAGTTTGTTTGCGCTGTGGTCGCTTGGCTGGGACAAAGTAAGTAAATCAGCGAAGACCACTTGGGATGAAGTAAGGAGGAACAATAGTATAAGTTAAGAGGTGCTAAAAATATACTATACTTCACCTCATGGAGTAAGTATCTAGTATAGTCGAGTCGATAAGGGGACTTCCGTGATGTCCTTGCTCCGTCGATGCCCGGCATGAAGTTCTGGTAAGTACGTATGTCTTATCTGTAACTGTGCATTGCATCCCAGCCACATGCGCCCGTTGGCGATGATGGAGAGAGCGAGTGAGCGAGCTAGCTAGCTCCTATAATCTACTCCGTACACACCACACATACTGTACACCCTTTAGGAAGGACAGATAATCCTTTGTCAAGAACGGAGTCTCCCACCGTGCCGAAATCCGTATCCGCTCATGCAGTGAGCAATTAGCTTAACAGTTAGCAGTTAGCAGTTTAGCAGCCCATCCCCCTTGGCCGCCCCCCTCTCATGCCGCTCGGCTGTTTCACACTGCAACCATTGTTAGCTGCGTTCCTGCATAAGTCCGGAGAAGGTTCGGCCGTTGACTTTTTTCTCACACTCTGCTCTGCTCCCGTCTCCCACTAAGAGAACAATTGATTAGAGTGAAAGTACGTGTATAGACGGAGACTGACCGCGGTGATGATCCGACAATCATATCTATTTCGGGGTGTCGTTAATCTACCGATGACGCCTGATGATTTTCCAACCGCCTCGGCGGGGATCATCGACGGTGTGCACTGATGGATTGGATTGGATTGATTGATGGATTTTCCTCGACCTATTGCCTTATTTTTCTTCTTCTACTCTGTACCTAGTTAAGTAGTACTGTGTAGTGTATGTATGATTACTTTTGTTTATTTACTCAATTGTTGGGGGGTTCTTCCCCTTACTATATGTTGTAGTCCTGGAGATCTGTTTAATTTGTTGTGTTACCCGGTGATCTCACTTGCTTGTTATACTACCACCACCAGCATCTCGACTCCGTAAGTGGATGCAGAACCTCCCTTGGATGCATCCCGTCTGCAGGGAGGTCCGCGTCTATTGCTGCGGGTATCTAGCAGTCCATGCGAAAGAGAGAGAGAGAGAGAGTGTGTGTGTACCAAAGAAAAAGCGAAAATTCTCCCATTCGACGGTCGGGCAATTGGATAACCCCATCACGGCATGAACCGGACCACCCACTGAAAAGTGGGCATGAGTGGGAAGAGGAAGAAAGGGGGTGGGAACGCATGTAAAACCAGAAGAAAAGAAAAATAAAAAATAAGAAAATTTTACGAACACCGGACGGGAAGATAGTTCCCTATTTTTTTTTTTTTTATTTTTTTCTCTTTTTTATTTTTTTCTCCCATTGCTCGAGGGGTCTGGTGTGTTTGAATTAGACATGCTCCACTGGGCTGGAGCAGCGGCGTTGCTTGGGAGTTGGGAAACGGTTCCCGGAGTTCATCCAATGCCAGGAACCAGGGGCAGGAAATGTATCAGATTGAGATGATGACGCTTATGTTGATGTTTGCTGATAACGGGTTGTTGTTGTTGGGTGTTGGTGTAGTACCGCAATTGATGGAAAATTGGGATGATGACTGCGATCGAGATCGAGGTTGAGGAATAGACAGATAGTTAGTGAATTCATCCTACTTTAGACTAGGTCTATCAAAAAGATGGGATCAATGCGCCGTGTCATTTCTCTGGGGGACTTTCCCAATAATTAGCAACCACCGCTAAAAAGGGGATCCTCCACTGCCTGCGAATTCTGCAGTGGATCCCCAACAACGCTCGACCACTTTGCTCTGCCCCGACTAAAGCTGTGACTAAGATGCTAGTTAGTTAACTAACTCCGAGGTGGTAACAGCGTGTATCACAAACAAGCAAGAAAAAGATGACTTAAGATAATAATACAAAGGATCTTAAGGGTTAGAAAGGATAGGGGAAAATACAGGCATGATGAAGAATTGCATCCACATGGCCCCAATTGACTACGGATTGCTGGATTCTTGGCGGGAGTAAAAGCAATCTAGATGTGGCCGCCATCTGCACGCCACGCCCATTCCATTTGCATTTGGAGATGAAGAGTTTAGTTTAAACTGGCAGAGGGAAAGTCAAGCACTGACCTTTGACCTCCCGACTGCGCCCGTGGACACGTCTAATTCGTTTGCCCTTTTCCCCATCCATCCAATATCGGGTCCCGTGGCGCTTGACTCCTCTCCAGACTTTTTCCTCCCCGGCAAACGAGTCCCGAATTTCTTGGATAGCTTTTTTGGTTCCTTTTTCCTTTTTTCTTTTCTGTTTAGTTTAACCTTCTCCGTCTTCTCCGTACTCCGTACACAGTAAGATAGCTACTTATGACCGAGCCCCGACTATCATTGCTGCTCCTGGCCAGGGTTTTAGTCAAGAACCGCGCATGCAAGGGTTGTCCACGTCCCTGATCCCGAGCATCCTGAGGCAACGGACCACTTTTTCGCTGCTGCAGGAGAGTCAGGTAAGGATGGAGAGAGGACGTAAGCACGCCCTCCCCTCATTCCCGTGAAGCTTTAACGCGGCTCGTCCTGGATTCTTAGGGGTCACCAACACGTATATTCGGGATAGGCGAGGCACAGGAGTAAGTATCTCAGTGTAAAGCGCCTAAGTTTGGTGGTGGCGCACGTGTCATGCACACTTGCTTCTTTCCATTCCCTGCAAATTCCCTAACTATTTTCCCTCCCTTTTAGTTAGTTGGTTAGTTTGTTAGTATCTTAGTATCCTTCGTCACGGTGGATCTGCTCATGGTCCGTCCACTCCGGAGGTTGTGTGATCGAATGGCATTTCGGTGGCTTCGTTCAAGACAAACCTCCAGGGTCGGATCCACTCCGTTTCGAGCATGCCATCCCGTGTGGTCAATATACCCTGTCTGGTCCCTGTCCGGTATATTTGATATCCGTTTGCCTCCTGTCGGCTCTTACTGGCTTCCCCTGGCGGATTTTTTTCAACATCTATTTCTGTGACGCTTCATCTCTCTCTCCATCTCTCGTCATCTCACGTTCCTTTCACTCCTCCTTTCCTCGTTGCTGTTGTTGTTGTTGCATGGGTGACCCTTGACAACACTAACTGCATTGCTACCATCCCTCTCACCTCTCTCACCTCACCCATATCCCCGTCCATATAATCTTTCATTATCGACCTCGGGGGCGCACAGAGGGTCCCCTTTTTTTTAATTAATTTCTTTTTATCATCTTTCCTTTTTCTTTTTATTTCTTAAGATCCTCCTCTTCCTTCCTTCCCATTCTACATCCATCCCTCCTCAACTACCCAACATGTATTCTACTACAGCACCTCTGGATTTGGACTATCTCAATGAACAATTGCTTCCCCGGCGCTACGAATCGGAAGAAGAGGAAACATCAGAATCAGAATATGGGGCCCATGACCATGCCTTTTCACCTATCAAGACTGCCGGTCCCTTCGACTCGGATACCAGTGCAGACGAGCTTTCCAATGTGAATTCCCCAGAGTCGCCAGTCGACAAGTCGTCATTCGCCCGCCTTCTGTCAGCCTATCCATCCGGTAAACAAAGTCGACCCGTATCCATGGATACGGTGAAACGAAGCAGTGGAACGACATTTGTACCAGATTCGTACATTTTTGACGACGATGACGACGTGATCATTGAGCTGCCCTCCCCTAGTGCTACCTCTCCTTTGCAATCTCCCATCTTCCTTCAGCCCACAGTCTACCAACCTCCGGCGTCTCCCCTGTCGCAACAGTCACGATCTCCGTCTCCGGCCCTCAGCGAGTCGGATGAAGAGACAGACGTGCTCGTAGCAGAGCAGGTCAAATTTGTGGAACCCTGCGCCAAACCTAATCTAATCCTAATCAGTCCCGTCACCGACGGATCAGTGGTCGAAGAACCTGAACCTATGTCGGCAGTTTCTGCTGTTTCTGCAGACGTTCCCGATCGCTTTCCACCGGGCCAAGGACTCTATTCCTTGAACCAGGGAACCAAATCGCAGCCATTGTTGAGCGACAAACGGCCCGACTACCTGGGCCACATCAAGCGCGGCAGCTTGCAGCTGCACAGCAAATATGCGAAACAAGCCCCCAAACGGGCCGATACGGACCCCTTCACAATGCCCAGAGCTCTTGCGGATGTTCCTGAAACAGCCCAGCCGATGACCATGCGCTCGCGTGCTATGACGTGGAATCGACCACAGACGTCCGCCGACAGTGCATCGAACCGCGGTCCCAAAGCGGGTCTCCTCCGCCGTCCGCCATCTATGCAAAGTGTCGGTGGTGCTGGTGGTGGTTACTCTCTGTTCCCGAGCACCAGACGAACCCCTGCATATCCTAGCGATGAGTACCACGCTCGGTCCACCTCTGTGTCCCACTCGATCGCCAGCTCGGACATGAGCCAGCCACCCTCGCGCACATCCAGTCCAGCACCATACTACTCCTCGCCTACATTCAACCGACACCGCTCGGGTTCATCATACAGCGTGTCGAGCGTCCCCGGCAACATCTCACAGCGGCCACCATTGCGTAACTCGATCATGAAGAGCTCAACCGCATCGAGCGTATACTCAGCCAGCAGCCTGCGATCGGAAGTGGAGAGCGTGCACAGTCTGGAACCACGGGAGACCGCCGAGACAGAAGTTGCCAAGACGGCGCGGCGGAAGAAGAGTTTTCGGCGCAGCAAGCAACCCAAGCTCGAGAGCACGACAACCGAACCGCTCCCAACAACTCCCAAGAGTTTCATGGGGTTCATGCTGCGAGGGCGGAGAAAGTCCACCATTCAAAAGTCCTAATGCTTAATTTTGTTTGTCAATTTGTTGGAACTAGTGTTTCATATTCATCTGTTTAACTACCGGTTTGGGGCAAACCGGCTATGACGGCGTTCGGTTAGCGGGATTAAGGGTTTAGGGATCTGGGTCAGGCGGCTACTTTGATTTGAATTTGGTTTTTGTTTATTCGCACTGGATGCTACTTTCCTGCTACTATATTACTCTAGTGTTTTATTTCTTGTACTATAAGAAGGAAACAAACAGCAGTGGTCTTCCCGGAGTGGGCCCATTCAAAAATGTTGAACATACCATCTCTATCTATCCATCTTTCATTTCCTCCCGCGTATGTACAAAGTAGACGAACACTAAACTGACTCGATATCATCACGCTGAAACAATTGCATAAGTACCCGTCACGTCAATCATCACCGAATCTTCCACGATCCTTCCATCGGCAATCCATCTGCGGCACCTACCGCCTTCATCCACGGGAAACCAACCAACCCAGCTGACCGGCCCAAGATTTGGGTCAGATCTGGATACGGGAAAAACCTGCGATGAGATCTGACTCGTTCCCCGATCCACTTCATCTCGGTTGCGATCTACGTACCAAACATTGTCAATTGGATTGTAGTTGCCTGCTGCTGTCTGCTCGTATATCTTTTCATACACACACCCACGCTCCTCTCTCCCTCCTTTGGAAATTTCAATAAAATCTTAGACAGATATAATCAAGTAATGACCCTGAACCCCTATCCCCGACCCCAACATAATCTTAATATATTGAATTGTACGAAAGTATAGATTAAGATCGCCCAAACAATACACATAGTATATTGAACACAATCTACATTATATGAACCCTATATTGGCGCGGGAAGCCAGTAGACACTAGATAGATAGTTTAGTTCTTCGGCATTTCATTTTAGACTACGTACCCGTGCATCCAGATCCAAGTTTCAGGGTACGTAGACAGGATAAATTCAAATGAAGGATATACGGGTGGATCCCTGACGAGGGCACGGGCACGTCGCTTAGAATCTGATGTGCCCCAACCTCACTAACTAAGTATTCACTAACTAAGTATCTGTTTAGTGTCTAGATACCTCGATAGTCAGTTAGAGAGAGTAGATAATCAATGGTACGCTAACCGGCTCGCTCGCTCGCTCGAGCCACGTTCAGCTCCCGGATGGTTTCATCCATCCAACCCACCCCCATCGGTTAGTTTTAGTTGACTGGTACGAACCATGATGCACGGAATTAGGGCTCGGGCTCTGGTGCCGAAGTCCAAATGATAATGTCATGTCTGCCTGTCGATCAATCTGCGCATTGCATTAGGTTTCATATCTCTTCATGGCTTTTTGTGGGTTTGACGTGGCTTGACATGACATGACTCGGAGAGTTTGCGCGGGAACAACTGACTCGTGGGAAGCCAGGATGCGTGACTTTTCAGCTGAGCGTGTCATTCTTCTTGTCCTAAGCGATGTGGCAAGTTCGGGGAATGAGTCGTGTCTATTCATCTCTGTATGATGATCATTGTGAAGTGGAGGATGGGGGAATGGGGTGAATATGCCTTGATATTATGTGGGAACGGAATTCAATGGGAATGGTTTGATTGGATGGATAGATGGCTTGTAAGCGAAGCTGGGAGATGAATGAGGATGGAATGTTATTCATCGTTGATTGGACTAGTTAATGCACTCGCTTGAGCGGCGCTGGCGTATATAAGGCACCTTTTCCCCTTCTTCTTCTCCTTCTTCTCTCTCTCTTTGCAACCTCCAACATCTGGTCACCAAGCATCTATGATGCTCGTGCAAGTCGAACGGGTCTCTGGGTCATTGGGCCTACTCCCCTGAGGAGATGGAGGTCTTATCATCAATCACCTAGCAGGACAGAGAGAAAGTACAATCTTCGCAGCATCTCCACAACCTTAGGCCGTGGGGGTTATTGGTATACGAGAGATGGTATATACTCTGGTAATCGTGCTGGTATATCGAGCCAGATTGTTGTTAGGCCTCCGCTGTGTTTAGCTCGCTCTTTCGCAGCCACCAGCTTGAAGAAGTAATGACAACAAGCGTGGCAGTATATGGCTGAAAGACCCCCATATACAGCTACAATGGGGACTGCCTTTTCTTTCAAAGAGACATTAAGAATGAGACACAGAACCATTACGTCTCGGAAATCTTGGGACGTAACGGGGTGAGTATAGCCAGCGATTCCGCTCAAAACGGTGTATCGATTCTTTCAACTTACAGTACACCTGGACGTGCTTGCCTCTAATAGTATACTTGGCGCTGCTTGCCAGACGGATGAGTTCTGCTGTCTCCTCTAGATTCTCTTCGCTCCCAAGATAAGCACCCTCCTTACACACACACACACACCCACACACGTACACACCCATAAACACGGTCTTTGTCTTTGGGTCTTTCTGATACTCGTTGTAGATCATGTCTCTCGAAAATTTTATCGATGATCTTCCTCTCAACAGAGCGCAATGGGTACAATATGCCAAGCGGGCCGGCCTTTTGCACAAGTCGCTGCGACACCGCAAGAAACTCCAGTCAGGATCTTGCGTCAACGATGAGCAATTTATGCTCTTTAGAACGATATGCCCCGAATCCATTCACCCAGACTATTTTAATCCTGCTGACTATGGTCTTGACTTAACTACAACCTCTAATACATTGGCAATGTCCCAAGACTTTCAAGCCTACCTCAACCAAGTCGGCACAGACAACTTCCGGGGCCTGGGAGAATTTGGCACCACTCTCGTTCAACAGTGGGAAGTACTGGAAGGCTTTAGAAACGAAGATGATCCGCTTAAGTGCTCTGATGAAACTGCTGTTAATTCTAGTCTGATCAGTCTACTCCAGGCGCTTTCCTTGTTAGCTACCACGACTACCTCCGAGTGGCGTAGCACCAGACTCCGTTTGAGGGGAACATTCGGTACTCATAATCTTCGTTCAGGCGAGTCTCCTCCCCAATTTGTTGCAATCACAGATGGACAATTGCGAGATAAGCAGACAGGTGAAATCAAGTCTGTGATTGAATGCAAGAGACACCTTCGCGATGAGGTGGGCAAGGCAGTCGATATGCAGGAGGCTGCTGAGATTGTGGCTTGGGTCAACCAGTATCCTGATACTGATAGAAGTATCGATACACACCAGTAAGCCACCCGCAACCTAACCAATATGAACACGTTGGTAACGAATTGGTATAGTCGGGTTCTTGTTTCAAAGGATGGATACGAAATATGGATAACCTTTGCAGAATATGACAATACTTGGGCAGACTACCTAGATGGCCGTGGTGGAAGTGGAACGAGGCAACCCAGCCTGATGACGATGCAAAGATACGGTCCCTACAGTATAGCGGATAGACTCCAAGTATTGCAGGTGTCTACGATCCTGCTTGCTATTTCACTTTAGTCATACGTCCAGCATACTGGGTCGCAAAGAACGGCTTCAGAGTGGGTTTAATATATGCCAGGTCGCAAAGACCGGCGTCGGAGTGGTTTTAACATATGCCAGGTCGCAAAGACCGGCGTCGGAGTGGGTTTAATATATGCCAGGTCGCAAAGACCGGTCTCCAGCAAAGAGCCTGCACCTCAACGTGGTGCTGGAGTCTAGTAGCTAATTTTAGTGAAGCTAAGACAGGCTCCGTTCATTATCTGGCCTTACCTGAAATGAGCTTTGTGTTATACATTCGTGTTCTGGTCACTCATAGCGTAGTAGTTATTGTTGAGACATTCACTGCAGCCAGGCAGCTGTCAGCTGTTCCTTCGCCTCTTCTTCCTGCGTGGCCTCTGACCACCACCTCTTCCAACCACCCAACCCAACCACCAACCATCTTCCTGAGATCCAGATAGATCAAATCCATAAATCTTTGACCCTTCGTCTTGACAGTTATCATTCGAACTACTTAGTCGAACGGGCTTGCAGCAAGGTGGACAGACAATACGGAATAAGCGGCCTTCCAAACTTCCTTTACAAGCCGACATGCAGCTAGGCTAGGCTACTTAGAAAGAGCCGTCTCATGGGTGTTTCCGCATAGATCATCCTGATATGTTTACAGGCTTCAGAGAACGCCAGATGAGCTGCGCACAAGCCCGGGCCTACCATTTGTTGATACGCTGAAACGGAGCCGGACCTCAGTGCCGAGGAGCCTACTACTAATAATACTTTATTACATGGTATGGAGTATTAATGGTAAAGCTTGCGTAGATAGTGAATCATTCAGTATCAGGTGACCAGCCACGCCCGCCTACCCCCCCGCCACACACACACACACATCTCCAATCTTCGTTTCCACTCAATTCAACTCTTCAACACCGCCAACCATTCTAACAACGAGAACGCCCTCATACTCAATTACACGACAAAATGCCTAGCAACAACATAGCTGAGCAACTCGAGAGTCTTTGGAAGGAATTGGTGGTGAAGACTCCTGAAGTGCTGGTGGATAAAGAGAATCAAGTTAGTGATCTGGTCCTGGATGAGTACCTAATTGATCGCAGTCATATGGGGCCATATTCTCTCGAAGACCTTGAGAATGAAGATCAGGGAACTACAGGAGCAGATATATATGGGCCACAAACACTGTTTCCTGCTGAGGCTCCAATTCATTTTCAACCCATGTCCCGAGCGGAGCTTGAAAAGTACCCCATTTTACCGTCAGAACAGCCGAGAATGAGGGACTACGACCCCGCCATTGCCGATGAATCGCCAAATGCTCAGAAAAATCGTATATACCAATGGGCCTACCATTTATTAAAATGGGTGTCATACTCCGTGAGTCAATGCGGAGTAAGAGAAAACGCGAATACTTTAGATGAACGACTACATAGGCGAAGAAAACTGAAAAACATACAGTAAGTGCAAGAAGGCTATTGGATTCTCCTTTTAACTAGATCATTTAACTAAAAAATTTCCAATAGCTGGCCCGATCCATTCTATCTAGGCTGCAAGCTGTTTGGGGCATACCCTTCTGTTCACGACCATTGGGGAGCAATTCTTCGGATCGAACCAGATAAAATTGATGGCCACCGTATCTATCCCCATCTTACCATTGGCCTAGCTCTATCGCATTGCGGGAATGAGAGCTCCATGCTCTACGAGGAACTCGCAGTGATTATATCTGCTATGAAATGCCGGGCTCTTCAGCCTCGGGTTCCAGAAGATAAGGCTTTGTTTGAGGAGGATATTGAGACTATAAAGTCCATGCCTCGGGAGTTTGGGGATGAAAAGACGTTTCCTCTTCTCCTTCTGTCATTCCCGGGTCCCCAGAATTTCCGTTATTTCCAAGTCTGTATGCGTGGAATTCGGATGCTTATTCTACAGTCTAAGCTGTACAGCTTCGAAAAAAAGGAGACTGCGCCGATTGAGCTTCTAGTACGGTTGGCAATGAGCCAGCCGTTATCAAAGAATTAACTAACACCAGGTCGCAATGAAATGTACTTGTTGCACCCTCAGGTCGAAAAGACCGAGACTTATGACAACCTCAGGTCGAAAAGACCGAGACTTATGTTATCAACAAATTGTACAATCCATACCTATGCCTTAAAGAATGAAATTGCTGTCTCCCTACCAATGAGTGCACCAAATTCTGAACATTACACACCGCAAATGCAGAGAAGAAGGACTGCTTCTGCTTTTCTTCTCTTCTGATGTCGACGTAAATTATCTATTCAATGGATGATGAAGACACCATTATATGATTCCACTCCTCTAGATCCTCTGTGTCCATAACTGGTTGTACTACTACTCGTGATAGGCAAGCACGACAGCTTTCCGACAGTTGCTGCACCATTTAGTTGCGGCAGATCTAACACTGTCGTCGGTCTTCAATGAAATGGCGAAGACTGTAACGAGCTATCGGGTGAAACAACCAGTCTCGCCGCCGGTAGGGCTCGCGGAGTGGTCTTCGTGCCAATTCGTGGTGCTGCCCGCGGACATCCCAGGTAGGGCCACCGAATGGCTGTTGGAGGGCTCCGGGGCTTCTGGGGAGCTTTAGCGTCTTTCTGGACCTCAGAACAGATCGAGGCTTGGAAGGAAGAGGTCTTTGGTCCAGACGGAGCAAATTACTGAATCGAATAGACACACTACAGTGCCATATACTAGTGCCGATGCCCTTCTGGGATTTTTAATATTTTCGGATCTCAGAGAACTTGAGCTATCGAAGGCGTTTGACAATGCAGAAGGATCCCGATGCAATATTACCATACATTAGTCGGACTACCATGATACTATTGGGCGCTTCCAGTCATGTGTACCCACTGTTCAAATTGTCGCTTTCCTTCCGGAGATTCATTCTTCTTTACTTCGGTGAATAGAATCTCCGGTATACATCATGCAAGTTGAACGGGCCTCTGGGTCATTAGGCTTGCTCCCCTGTGGAAATGGAGATATTATCAATAATTATCTAGCAGGACAGAGAGAAAGTATAATCTTCGCAGCATCTCCACAACCTTAGGCCGTGTGGGGTATTGGGTATACAAGAGATGGTATGTACTCTGGTAATCTAATCACAATACCAGGGCTCCTATCTCTCACAAAGAACATGGAAATGGCCGTCGAGGTGGTTGCGGTGATAACCATGACTATGGCAGATACAGTGGCTGGAGACCCAGAAGAGTTTATATTATAACATATCTTTCCAGCTTTATACTAATTTATTAACAAGGCTTGAATACAGTACCGGTTCTGTGGCTGTAGAAGCTATTCAATCACGAACTGCTACCTATACCGCGGGATAAAAATACTACTATATTTCATCTATATTATTATTGACTTTTATTCTATAGATTTTACCAAGCTTATTTCTTACAGAAAACCAGACGCGTTGCGGTTAGCTAAATCGAAAAGAAAAGCTTATAATATAAGAAATCAACTTATATGATTAGGTTGAATAGTAACAGAGACTTCAGCGCTGCCACTACCGTGTTAGTCGTCTTCATGTCAATATATTGAATGGCCTTAAACTAATTATTATTACAGCAGCTTCGTCAGCATTATCAGGGCCAGAGTCAGCATTACCAAGACCACCGTTGTCAAGATCACCACAACCAGCAACAGCAGCAGCAGCATCATGGACACCTAGGACGTGTGAGTAACTTAGCTAGCTCGACTCCGGTTCTCTGTAATTGACTTCATACTGAATGTGGTTTGCAAGAGGATCCGGAATTTGATAATTTCCCAACCACCGTACAGGTCAGATATCGACCGTTGTTTCTCTGCAATTTCTCTTGTTTACAGACTACTACCATGGAGAACAATTATACTGGCACACGGGTAGCTGTGCCGATTCTGGGATAATGGTTGGATTTTTGCCTGCAAAGGGCTTTGCGTTTGCTGTGATGGGAAATACTTAGAACGCGACTAGCATATTGAAATAGAAGTATATGAATCTAAAACAGAGCCTTTCCAGAGTGAAATTACCTTGCTTCTAGTAAAAATCTGTACAAAAAGCTAGATATATCTTTTATACTAGATATAACCAACACTCGAAGAAGTGTGGTTGGAATTAAGTAATTTGTTGAATATAACTTGAAAGAGAAAAGAAATAAATAATAATAGGTATAATAAAGAAGACTTATACTATTATATCACTGTTTTTCTTGAGAAAAGACATGTCTCGTATTGTTGTGTCTGAGTACTAAACTAGAAACATATAGATAGTACACAGTATAGTATAATATTATTAAACTTTAAGTAAATCTTCATCTCGACTCCATGAATAGAAATAACGGGGTTTGTACAGCCTTTCCACAAAATTGTGTAACCGAAGTCTCCACCGAGTCTATTTATGATAGACTTAGAGCCGAGGTAGTGCCGAATCAGCGGAAGGCACCTGCTCATTTTGGGGTAGGAGGCAGCGATGCTTGATACGTAAGAATTGGCCTTGTATTTGCTCTTGTCAAATGTACTATGGACTTGAATGTAACTAGAATCATCCCAAATTATCCAACGTCCCGCCAATGTGAGAGCGCATGAACAAATAAATCCAGGAAACTAGTAGCAACTATTTACGCGCCTCGAGAGCAGATTTGATAGCTGCAACATGTTAGATTCGTCCTCATCCATTAGCAGGGTAGCTCACCATCGCAAGAGGTCTTGGCATCTCCAAAAAGCATCCTTGTTCCAGGCATGTAGAACATCGGGTTTGGTACGTC